AAGGGAATGGGTGGGAGTACTGATCAGTTCTACATATAACCCCTTTCCAGATGGACAGACCACATAAAAGTGGGTGAAGGAAGACATTGGTCAGTGTAAGACATGAAAAATAATAATTTATAAATTACCAAGGGTTCATGAGGGAGAGAGGGGGAAAAACGAGGAGCTGATACCAAGAGCTCAAGTAGAAAGAAAATGTTTTGAAATGATAATGTATGAGCCCCCAATAAAATTATGGAAGGAAGCAAGCAATGTGATGGTGCCCAGCTATTAAAAGACATAGCATCTGAGGTCTTAAAGGCTTGTAATTAAACAAGTGGCCATCTAGCAGGGAAGCAATAAAGCCCACATGGCAGAAGCACCCCAGCCTGTGTGATCACGAGGTGTTGATGGAAAGAGGAATCAGAAGTTCAGAGACATGGATACAGTAGAGACACAAAACTCACCTGCCACATAATTGGACAGCCCCTCTCAGAAGGGTCACACAGAAAGGATGATAAATCCAGGGTGTGGTATACACTGATGAGCCACATAATTATCTGCTAATTATTTAATATTTCCTCTGCTTACTCTTAAGGCTATTATTTGTTTTACCTCATTAATCATGTTAGATCTACATATGTTAGTTTGCATATTTAAGATTGTTCAGTACAGGAAAGTCAAGACAGATAACCCTGCAGAAATAGCAACAGGAATAATGGCTCCCTGAAGGTACAGGAAGAGAAGGAGGGAAGGGGAGGAACTGGGAGCTGACAGCATTGATAACTGCACAACCCCACTCGTTGGGGCTGAACAGCAGAATTGTATGTGAATGGATATACTGAATTGTGTAAGATATGTCAATAAATAAAACTATTATAAAAAGAGGAAAAGGGTATCTCAAATAAAAAAATAAGAGAATTTGCTAGCTTTTACAGTAGAGTTCTCATTCATTTTCAACAACTGTTCAGCAGTCATTCAAAATATTTATAAAGGGGTAAACAAGGCAAGAAACTATTCACTGTGTATTTTATTCCTAAAGATTCACAGCACAGAGGATGCCCAATTCTAAGCATCCCAGAATGGCTTCTGGCCTACTAATTTTTATTTAAAGAAATAGTTAAAGAGGCATTCAGGTGCCACCAGGATACCAAGGTACAAAAAATAGCCACAGGAAGCACAAAAGGACATGTTCAACATGAGTCCGCTGAGATAAGCTTAAAAGTGCAAAAGTGATGTAGGGAAAAAGCTACTGTATACATACATTCCTAGGGTGGGGTCCAGGTAGTATGGCAGGGACCAGACCAAATCCATGGATACATATGGTAGCAAACTAAAAAGGATGGGAAAAGAAAACAGAAAAAAGAGAGAAAGAGGCATTGGTAGTGGGGGAACAGGGCACTAACCCACCCAAGGGGAGGGTGTTATTTATTATCTCCACAGGTAAGGAAGAGGGGGACAAGTCTTCAGCACCATGTTCCAAGACATGAGTGCAACATGCCAGCATGAAACTGGGAACCAATAGAGAGGTCTGAGGGGCCAGCCCCAATCCCAACTAAGTGGACACCTCCTCTCCCCCAAGAAGAATTCACTTCAGAGGACAGCACTGAAGTTATAGCTCAGGGAGAGGGGCGTGTCTGATCAGACCACACAGGAGCAAACGAAGTGGGAAGGAGAGAGAGGGTGTAACACATCCTGGCCCACCAAACCCAGAAGATCATATATTTACCTGCTCAGAGCAGCCAATGCACAAAGAGGACCATAGGGCCAGCCCCATCATGAGACACGACGTCCCTCACTGACCCATAGCGCTATGGAGGACGACAATGGAGGCACAGTGTGGGAATTGTGCCTGACCCCACCACACTTGGGCAAAATGCTCAGGGCATGCAACAGAGCATCAAGGGGAGCAAAGCAATGAAGTGCTCTGGGAATACCAAAAATAGACTTTGGAGCTAGAACATGGCACCCCATCTGACTCAACCGGAAAACACTGCTAAAGGTCAACAAACAGACCTTGAACTATTTATAGGCTTTTCTTTGTCATCCGTTTTTTGGTTTGTTTTCTTTTGCTCTGCCTTGTTTTTGTGCTTATAAGTGTCTCTTCATATCTATCTAGATAAGACAGGCGGGATAAACAATTCGGAGGGGAAAACAATGGGAACGGTGGTTCCAGGTGGGGCACGGGAGAGGGGAAAGGAAACAAGTGATCTAAAATGGACAGTGAGGAGGACGTAGGATGCCTGTTAGGGCTTGATCAAGGATAAGGTAACCGAGAGTAATTACTGAAACCCGAATGAAGGCCGAACATGATAGTGGGGCAAGAGGAAAGTAAAACGGAATAGAGGAATGAACTAGGAGGCA